TGGGAAAAAATGATTCTAGATACGAGCACCTCCAGTTACTGGCTCGGTCCAGGAACAGATTTTGCTCGTATCTCGTGGTTCCACTGTATATACACAGTAGGTTATCAGTGTTCAGTGAATTGTGCTCCAACATTTCCCAGAGGAAGATCCCAGGTTTAGATAAGGCATGCCTGTCAACACAGGGCACTTTTCTGGATCGACTGTTTCCAGCTGTTGGTGGATTCAGAGGAATTTCTAATGGTCAGTTGATGTGCTGCGGCCACACAGTTCCCATGAGTCAGTAGAGGTCGTGGTGCTAAGAATAAGTGACAGGCAGTGTCAGCACTGCTTGTACTCAGCATTGGTTGATATTTTTAACACATGTCATAGGACAAGCTGTGTCCACTGCAGAGGTCAGAGCAGGTCAGGGTGCAAGAATGGCTGGATTTCCAAATTGCTGTGGAGTTTCTGACCCTCAGTCAAAGTAAAGTTGTCGTGTCAATACAGGCTCTGATGAAATGAACGACTCAATTCATTTGTGAAAATGAATTGACTCAGATAGAATTTTTTTAACACATAGGCGCATGCCCTCACTGACCAGCCTCACTGACCAACCGTCACTGACCACACTGACCAGCCCTCACGGCCCAGCCTCACTGACCAACCGTCACTGACCAGCCCTCCCTGACCAGCCTCACTGACCAACCGTCACTGACCAGCCCTCCCTGACCAGCCTCACTGACCAACCGTCACTGACCAGCCCTCCCTGACCAGCCTCACTGACCAACCGTCACTGACCAGCCCTCCCTGACCAGCCTCACTGACCAACCGTCACTGACCAGCCCTCACTGACCGGCCCTCACTGACCAGCCTCACTGACCAACCGTCACTGACCAGCCCTCACTGAGCGCTTGTTTGAAAACATTTTATTTTCACAGCTTTTTAGAAAGAGCATTCATAAACGATTATTTGCAACAATAAATAATTTCACTTCATGCAGGTCTCCCCTGTGACTCTTTGGCACCCCCTAGGGGAGGCACGCCTCAGCTATTGAAACCCGCTGCTGTAGACTAATTAATATTGTTCTACAAGCCACCATTAAGAGGGACATTAATGACTACAATTAGCTCGCAAAGTTAGATTTGCAAGCGAAGACTTGAGATTTCTTGGACGTTTTCTTGGTTTGCAAAATTGAAAAACATTGATTGAGTTTCAAAGGCCGTCCCATTAAGAATTTCCGCCTAAGTTTCAAATACATTTTAATGAGAATTAGTTCCAACTCACTTCTTTTTTTCTGCCTTTAATTATGAAACATTCAAACAGAAATTCCAATTTATAATTAAGTTCTACCTCATAACTCATCTTAGCCAGTAATAACTTCTTCTTTCAGTTCTACTGAGTTTTCTTTCTCCCTTCACTTTTCTCTAACCCTGACCTAAACTTAGATGTCCTCCTGTTTGTGTCCATCATGGCGTCCATACCATTGGGCCAATCATGCTATGTTCAAGACAATAACAAACCTGTGCATTGCCTTTGTATGTCACTCGGTGGCCCGGAAAATTTGGGTCGCGATACATTATATTAACTGTGTGCCTTGCGGCGAGGCTGCTACCTTTTGTCGGATGATAAGAGACAGAACTAATGGAGAGTGAGTTAAGTTTATTACAAACATGAAAAGCTCTCACTGCATAATTCTAAGGCAGGGAACAACGGACAAAGATCGGCGAAACAATTTTGGGATACGATTGGCTGAGGAAAAGATTCAATGTGAGACTAAACTAGTGTTGTTCTGGATTGCTGACTTCTTACATTGTTATTCTTGGAAGACTTCAGTTCTGTGCATTGCTACCTATAAAATTCTAGGAAAGCCTCAATCCTCAGTGTTACTATGTTGGTCAGATGTTCGATGGTGAAGTTCAAAGCGTTTCCAGATGGTTTAATCACACACAGACAGTATTCCAGATGGTTTAATCACACACAGACAGAGCAGACTCTCGTTCAGTAGTTCTCTGAACGGTATGCTTTTATTTTCTTCTTCTTCTTCTTCAGAAATGTTAACTTGGTGGGTGAGTCACATTCTGAAGGTCTTCTTGTGCCTGGTGTTTGATGAAGGCGGCTGCAGGTAGAAAGAAAGACATCATCCACTAATAGAGTTAATGATTTCCTACAGATGTTTGCAGTGGATTTTGTTCAATTCCGTGGTCAGTACAACATGTAATACCACTGTTGACTTGGGTTGATTCAAAGTCAAACACACTCACAAGAATCAAAGGTCAAAGTAATCCTGGGGTTCATGGAAGCTTAATACATGTCCCAGTTGGTTAGTAGCAAGATGGCGCTATAGTCAGACCTTAAAATAAATACTTTTCCATTTTTTTGCCATCTGCTGCACAATGGTCTTAGCCATTATCCTAAGTACACAAGGAAATGATCTGCTCCCTTAACATGTCGTAGATGTTTGGCCATAATGCAACCTATGACCTGAGTTGAAGGATTAGAGATAAACGTGTTAAATAGTTACCAAAGAGTAGCTTAACGCTGATAAACAAATAGACATAGATAACATTTTATCACAAAATTATTTATTAGTATTTCCCCTTTTCCCTTTAATGAGCCATTACTAGCCAACAACAGACCCAGTAGGGGGCAGTATTGGTACTCAGAGCAGATCAGACGCTCTTACAGTAAAAGCCAAAGAAGTTGATGTTATTGCATTTTTAATTAATACCAATGTTAAATACAGGAAAATGTTCCGATTCATATATGAAGAAAAGCTCAAAACAAAAGTCAAATTAAGTAAATCAAACAGTGTCCATAGCACCCCCTGGAGCTAAAAGACAGTCATTACATCCATAAAAGCAACTACCTTGGTGTTGGTTTCCAGTAGCATTTAAACACTGATGTTGAAGCAGACCTCATATCTTCACACCGTCCTATATGAGGTTCACATGCCTGAGAGTTCAACTGAGGCCACAAACCTAGCGTGCCATATTAAAGCCAGATGTTTGTTGAAGTCCAGAGCAGCGTATACACTGGTGGAACTGCAGGAGGCAGCGATATACACAGAAACCTTGGAGAAAACTTGTTTCATTTTGTAGTTTTGTTGTTGTTTTTTTTAGAAAACTGAGGTACACAAAATGTTTGAAAAACAATAAAAAGTGCTTCTTCTGAAAAGTATGCATGGGTGTGACGCACACACAGATCGCTGTTGCGGGTTATCCTGACAGCATGATATATTCCCACTGTATCTCGTTACTGCCTTGCACCAGTTGCACCGATGTGCAGGATTTCATTTTGCTCCTCCCACCGGCAGCAGACTGAACTGGCATCCACTCGGCGTCCGCGTGACTCGAGGCGTCAGGATGAGAATACTGGCTGAATGTGATGACGGTGAAAAATGGTGCTTCCATGTTCAGGGCTTGTGTGCGTGTGGTAACAGAGAAACTTTCAGGACAACACCTTGGAATGCTTCTCCCGTCCATTCCATGGACATTAAAGCAGCAGCAGCAGATTGTGCGTGTTTGTTTGTCCACCTGCTGCATGTGTTTTCATATAGGGAGTGGTGTGAATGAGGCGGCGGTGAGTACTGAGATAAGACGAGTTCTTGAGTTCCCTCTTGTGTTTTCCAAGCAGGCCTTCAAACAGCCTGCTGGGAGTGTTGCCATATTAGTAGTTCCAAGTTTAAAAGAATGAAATACTGTAGAAAGAACACGCCCCCCCTCTCACCCCCACGGGTCCCCCCATTTCTTCAATCTGAGGTGACAGCTTTATTGTCCCTGACTACTCAACTAAATGTCATTCTCTAACTAGCAAAAGGACCCACAAGAAGAAGGGGGGAGGGGAGAGTATGTTTTTTGGTCTGCACCAATCAAATTCAATTTATCCAAATGTGTGGTGGGCTGATTCATGGCAGACTGCGTAAATGAGCAAATCATGGCTTTTTTTTTTTCATTTGAGGTCACCATGAACTCTTCTGTGTTTGAACTGTAACCCATGATCCACACTTTGATCACTGTGTGATAAACACCCTTGATGTGTAAGGAAAATCTAAAAACTTAGCATGTTATGTTAGCTCGACTAAATTTGCTAATAAATAGATTCACTGAATATTTTATTTATATAATAAATGAAGAAAGTGGTTATTTGCATTATCGTTGGCTTTGTTTGATTTTTGTCAGTGTGTAACTATTATAAAATACCTCTGAGTTTGAATGTCATGCACATTCAGCTGCAGTCTTGGGACGTGGAGATTTCTGTTTGACCTAAAACCCATTTCCTTTATTTGTTTGAGTGAAGAAAATCTACAGGCAACGCTTAATGTCATTACAGAATCAAAAGAGTGAAGACAAAAAACACACATTTGTATTCTTTTATATGTTAAGTAAAAAATCAAGTGAATTAACACATTAGACCAGAGGAGGGCAAACTTTTTGACCCGCGGGCCACAATTGTCCTAAATTAAATGATAGATAAAGATAAATGACATGTAAAAGTCATGCATAAAGGCTGAAATGGTAAAATGCTTTTATTATTTTCTGCACCATCTATTGGGGAAATGTGGGTATTGCAGAGAAAAGGCAGAAGTATAATGACAACAAAAATAAAATAATATAATTTGGAAAAGTTTATTGGGTCAGATTTAAAAGCTGAACAGGCCACATCTGGCCCCCGGGCCTTAGTTTGCCCATGGTTGCATTAGGTTCAAGTTTTATTTAGACATTAACATGTAAACAAAAGCAGGTGGGCCAGATTTCATCATCTCCACTAGACTTTGGCAAAGTTTCATTTTCTTGTTTGTGCCGTTGTCACAGTGAAATCACCGACTAGTGTAAAGATACAGTTCTTGTTTTCGGTGTGAAGAATTAGGACCGTATCAGTCTGCGTCTGCACTCCACTGCTGGGGGGCCCTATTAAGACTGGGTCCCAAAGAATGTGGCTCAGATGATTAAGGTCAGGCTTGGCCAGTAGGCATCCAGCTTTCTGCATCACATGATTTGTCAGCAGGTCTCCCCCAGTGCAGCCCATTGTCAGTAGCAACCACTGACAATGGGCTGCCCCGGAGTAGGGTCCCCCCGTAATGCCATTCATATGTGCAGCCAATCTGCTTGTCCCGCACTCAGACAGCGCCTCCCCTCTGTGACCCCCGTGGATGTTTTGTTCTCTGGGCTGTTTGTAAGTAGGGCAGGTTTTCAGAGACTCCGGAATCAGACATGTTTACTGTTGAAAGTGACCTTAAATGAAAACAATAATATCGTTTACATTTGGTTTCTTAAATGTTTTGTCGCAGTAAAGGCTGATTACAAAAAGTTTATATAGAGAGAGTGACATTAAAATATTAACAACCACATACATAACCATTCCTGTATTAAAAATTAAAATAATAATAACTACATTGTTCCCATATTTGGGAAATTGTTGTGTTAGCAGCAGAAATGCTGTTACCAGGCTGCCCCTTGTAAGGGCCAAGCATGTGGTTCCTCAAGGATTCAAACCCAGGACACTCTGCTCTCTGCTTCCGAGGCAGACGTGCTAACCGCTACACTATGGAACCGACTAATTAATGTTAATATTATTATTATAATTATTGTTGTTATATGTTATTGTACTTATTTTAATAAATGTCTTGTCAGGCGGAGAGTCAAATATTTAGTGCCATGAGACAGAGTTTAAACCCAGCATTTTTGTGCCAACAGGAGATCGTTCTTGTCGAGGGCAGCCGTGTGTTTGAGTCCTGGAAGAACCCTCCCCCGCCTGTGTACATGGAATACTTCTTCTTCAATATCACCAACGTGGATGAGGTCCTTCTTGGAGCCAAGCCAAAGGTCCAGCAGGTCGGACCTTACACGTACAGGTAGGATCTGTTGTGAGGCTTTATGCTGTCAATATATATATACTGTATATATATATATATGTATATATATATATATATTAAAGTCAACAGATCAATACATTTTTAAGTTAGGCAATAGTTTTAATTTGAAAATGCCAAGCCAATTATCTGTTGTTGTTTTTTTAAAGGAAGGAGGAGACAGTTGCCTTCACTTGTTTGTTTGGCTCGGGAGCTGCTTTTCAAATGACCAGGCTAAAATGAGTTAAACATTAAATATATAATTAATATAAACTGAACATATTTATATCATTAAATGTGCAGGTGCTTTAACTAAAAACCTGTAGCTGTATAGCAAAACATGATTTATTTCTCATAGTATATGGTTCCCAGTACACAGGATTATATTTATATAGTATATATACAGTCATCCCTCGCTGTATCAGGTTCGGATTTTTGCGGATCTTTCGCTCTATCGCCGGTTTTTGCGGAATATAAAACATTTTAAAATTATTTCCGTGATAAAATAAGCTTTTTCTAGCCTAAAAAAACAGTAAAAAAAATTTTCCGTGATAAAATAAGCATTTTCTAAAAAACAGTAAAAAAAAATTGTAAAAAACCCAAACCAATAGGCATTATTCGTAAACTCCTGGAAGACATGATAGACATGAGACGACCCCAAAAAAAACTCTTGCGACTCACCTGAGGGTCGCGACCCAGTCTTTGGGAAACAATGTCGTGACAAGGGTGAATATATACCCTGTAATATAATAACTATTGCATCGCTACTTTGCGTTTTTTCGCCTTTCACAGGCGATCTTGGAACGTCTTGGGACCCCTGGGACAGACGCGCCTCCACTCTATACTTTTTTTTTTTTAATGTTACTGTTTATGATCGACCAGCGATCCCTCTGCCATCTACTGGTTAACCTTGATCTACTTATTGTGCACCCCTGTACATTGAACAGTGACTCTAAGTTGGCTGCACCTCTGATTAAAGAACTAAAATAACCTGTGCTATTGTTAACATAATGTTAAATGACAGTCTGTGGTGTAAATGTGTTTACACAGGGAGTACAGGTACAAGGACAATGTGAGCATGGTGGAAAATGGCACAATGGTGTCTGCGTACAACACAAAAAGCTTTGTGTTCTTGAGAGAGAAGTCGGTGGGAGATCCAGCTGTGGATATCATCACCACAGTCAACATCCCTGGATGGGTGAGTCTGAACTGATTGTTTGAAACAAATGGAGGGAAATGGATGTTCGGCTTGAGCTTCTGTTTTTTTTTTTATGTGTTTTAACCTGGTCATTTCCTTCTGCATTCTCTTACTTAGGTCTTCATTTTTACGTATATGTGACTTCATTAATGCGTTTTCATTGGCTTTTTATGCGCAGGCTGTCATGAACAAGGTGAAAGGCAATTTCTTCAAATCGCTTATGGTGAACGCTATGGGGGTTGAGGTCTTCACCAACCGCACTGTACAGGGGCTGCTCTGGGGGTATGAAGATGCCTTGTTGACCAAGGTTTCTGCCAGTCAGCCTGATGTGGAGACAACATTTGGCCTCATGTACAAGGTACGTCAGCTTCAGCAAACAGTTTCCGGGTCGTTGGTGTCCCCGTTAGTTCAAGTTGGCGAGGAATTTTTCACGCCTTCAATTTTTGCTTTATAGAAAAACGGAAGCAACGATGGAGAGTTTGTCTACCACACCGGGGTGAACGACTACATGGATTATGGCCGGGTCGAAACTTGGAAAGGCGAAAGGTGACACAAACACACGATCCCTGGCTTTCTTTGTCCACAGGGAATGAAATTTTCGTTGTCCGATGTTACATTTAAAATAGTTCTGGAAAAAAAGACACATTCATGCCACTGGTGATTTCTGTTTGTTTGCCCAGTAGGTGGTACTCTAGCTCATAACAGAGGGCAGGACATCCTGCTTCCCTGTGTTCAGAACCTACTCATGTTGTTGTGACCTTCCCAGGTTATTGTTCCAGTTCCTTTCCCCAGTTGTCCTGGTGTAACTACCTTTGTCAGTTGATCAGTATTTTGCTGCTACTAATCTGATTTGATCACCAGGGGGCATTCCTTGGGCATTACGAATTCAGATACATACGTATGTACCTGTTATGTGGAGAGTTGAGTGCTCATGGTCTGTTTTTGTTTTTTTTTTCAGCCAGCTGACCTTCTGGAAATCTGACCACAGCAACAGCATCAATGGATCAGATGGAAGTGCTTTCCATCCCCTGCTGGACAAGAAGGAACGCATTTACATCTTCACTCCAGATCTGTGCAGGTATGACTGGAACCACCAATGGTGTTCAGTGCTGTCCTCGTACAATGTTTGTATCCATCCATCCGTCCATCTGCGTCCGCTTATCTGTTACCGGGTCGCGGGAGCAGCGGTCTCCACGACCGCCACCCAAATCACACTGCATCGTACCAGCCCCTCGTGAACCTTCCTGCGGGTGGTGAGTCCACTGGAGGGCGCCAACCGCCCTAACCTGGAGTCGATTTAGCCCAGGAGGTGACACCAATGACAGAGACATTGCCTCTGGGCCAAAGCGCCACTGTTTGTATCTAACATATTAATCCGTATTTTGAGGCCATGTCTGTGTATGTTCTCAGTCATCCAGGTCATTTAATCCAAAAATAGTTACATCAAGGACAACTGGACGTAAAAAGGTTTTGAAATAGTTACATCAAGGACAACTGGACGAAAAAAGTTTTTTTTTTTTCACCTCTCATCCAAGGGGCTTCTTCAGTTCTTCAGTTATTTTGAGGCCACTCTTTTTGCCCTCTTCCCTGTAATTGATTGATCGTCTCACTGCAGCGCTGGAACACGTTGTGTTTTTCTGACACTCCTGAGCCGACGTTATCCTCAAAGTCTAGTCTTTGTAGGTCTAGACTTTTAAAGGACGCCACATCAATGGGCATGCTCCGACCAAATTTTGAAAGAGCTGTCAATCACCATCTTGGTCTGCACCTTAAACATTTTGTCCAATCATAACGTCCGCCCACTGCTCTGTAGACTCCTAGTGCAGGCCAGTTTTTCTAAGAGTTTTTCGCATCGTTTTCTCTGATCCCACGTTGAAAGTGATGTTGCGGTGCTGCCTCAATGACGCTAATCGAATCTGACTCTTAACAAAGTTTAATATCGCTCACTACGCTATTGGTACACACGAGAAGAAAATCAGCTGATCCGAGCGGTCCTCACGTTCTAAATTACCTTGTCTTGTCATGTATATAAAATGTAATGAAATGAAAATATAATTGACACTTTATTTAATGATATTTCAGAGGAAGCTCAGCTTCCCACGCTGCCTTGAAGCAATCAACCACTGCTTCAGTGGCCTCACAGGCTTTTCGGGGTCCTTTACAGCTAGTACATTTTTTCATGCTAACATTTGGCCGCTGCAGCTGTCTGAGGTTGGAGCCAAACGACCTCGCCAACTTTGATCTTCCCTTCGGAGCGTCCAGCTGAGGAGAACGGTTTATGACTCAGGCTGTCTGTAAATCCACTGACAGTTTCAGTGTCAATTGCACTTGTGTTGAATGCTAATGGTCTGAGTCGTCACCCCGCGGACACTCCCACCCATTGTCAAGGATAGAACATGTTACCTGAGACTGATATGGTCGTGATAAATGAGTAACTCAGGTCTATTCCTGTCTAATGTTCTCAGTTAAAAATTTGAGCCTGTGGTCACTGTGGAGTGGAAAGTGGGCTTTTAAATCGGGTATGGTATGTTCACAGGCTTTGGATCCCACGGACGGTTATCATAACATCCTGCTCACTCCCAAACAGCACCACAGGGGGCAGTTCTTTTCTAATGGAAGTCTGGGTGTCTATATAATAAAGTTTAGCTTTCAGGAAACACCAATGAAAAAAAACCTTATGACTGAACAGCCAGCAGAAAGTAAAAAAAAAAAAATCTTCCAAACTGTAGATTTTAGTAGAAACAAACAACCTTCTGTTCTTATTTTCAAATACTTCTTGCGAACGTTTCTTCCACATATGGTCGGCTGAAAGGTTCATGAGAAGATTCAAAAATGTGTCCTCAGGAGGTTTTGCCTGATATAAAACCCTTCAATATAAAAAAGACTTCTCTAATCTAACGAAAAAATAGTTTCAGTTCCCAGCACGCGCGTTGACCTTTGTGTTCAGAGCAGAAAGAATCCCTTGCACTGGTTTTGCCTTTGACTCAGACTGGACGTGCGTCCAAACCCATCTCCCAGATGTTTACTGAAAACTTTCACCTACTTATTCATTGCCTAATCATGGCCGTCTGTGTTATTGTGACTAAAGGGAAGGGTCCCTCCTTGTTTCCCGTGCCTGCTACTTTAGTGTGAAGAGGAAATGTTCCATGATCATGTGTGCTAACCTTTAACACACATGGGGATTGTTCAGCCTGTGGTATGAATGACTCGTAGCATGTGTTTTTGTTATTATCAAGGTTCATCTGGATCTCCAGTTCAGCACCAAATATGTTCAAGAATTTAAGTCTGTGACGGGGAAGGTTGCAGGTTAGAGGGGTTAGTGACCCCGTAACGGACAGCTGAGCCACAAAACACTCAACATTTGACACTGTGCATTGTTTAAATACCAAGATCACAAAAGTAGTATTCCGGGTTTTTTTTAGTTTACATATGAGATGCCAATTCTGGTTTCTAGTTGTATTAAATAGCAGTTGTTGCTACTGGTGTGTCGCCTGATTGGCTCCTTGAACCTCAAACTACATGGTGTGGCTAATCTGTCTGTAAAAGTAATTTATATTTCACTAAGTGTATTTGGCGGTGAGGATCAGAACTACCATTGTCCTGATACTAATCTTCCAAACCCATTTAAAAAATATATATATATTGGTCCCTTATTTGCCCCACATAGCAGGTGTCATTAGGGATATGTGGTTTCTCTGGGACTCAAACCCAGGACCCTGTACATGTAAGGCAAACGGGTAAGGCAGGCATGCTATCCGCTACACTATGATACCACTGTGATCTCTGTAGTTACGAGTATTACGCACCGGTATTACACTGATACTGAATACCGTCAGCAATACTTCTAATAAGATGCGGCCCATTCAACTTTTTTATCTGGCCCGCTAAACTTTTCCATATTATATAATTTGTTTATATTATCATTATACTTCTGCCTTTTATCTGCAATACACATGTTTCCCCAATAGGTGGCTTAGAAAATGATAAGAGCATTTTATCATTTTAGCCTTTATTCATGACTTCATTTATCTTAGTTCACAAACGCTCTGTCTGTCTGCTCCTGACCCGGCCCCCCTGGACATTTGTGGCCCCCGAGTCAAAAGGTTTGCCCACGCCTGGTCTAATAGGCTACATAGGCAATCAAGGGCAACTGATTGTTATGTCAGGTCAGTGGACCAGTGGGTTCATTATGGGTCCTAAAATTAAAATTGATTAAAAAAAATAGTTTTTTACAAATACTAAAATCATATCATATAGTATCAGAATTTGATTTGAGATGGTAGAATTTACAAACACTTTAGAACTTACAGAGAAAATAAACCAGTCATAAACAATGCTAATTGTCTTTAGCTTCCAACCAGACCATCAGTCTCTAACTTCAGACCCATGACACCGTGTGTCAAAGCAAAGCACTTAACCCTGGAGTCCTAAACCAGTCATTGGGCTCCACTTAATATCCTCCTCCCAAATACTGGACCCAAACCATTAAAATCCTCTGCAGCAGAGATGAGGAACTGTTATTGAGATTATCCAGTTGAATTTACATCTTTAGCCTTCACACATGGGCAGCGATTGGCTGAGATTTTGTTCTACCGTTCTGTGAAGAAACACATCAGTCCTTTTTTTTTTTTACTTGGCTTCTCCCTCAAAGGTCAAGGGAAAGGTCTGTACAGTATTGTTGCACACTCGGTGGGCTGAGTAGCTACGGGCCGAAGTCTCTGGGACTGTTTGGCAGACACTCTATGGACTCCTTTGTTCTGTGGTAGAATGGTCAGGATTCCCTGAAAAAGACAGAAGTGTAGAGAATAAGGATGGACCACACACAATAGCACAATTCACTTGGAAGCTATTAAAACACAGGAAACAAAAAAGCTCACAGTTTCTCCTCTCCCAGTACAGCACGAAGGTCAGAGTCACGCCACGCTGTAATTCCACGTCACATTCACATTATTCAACTGAGCTGAAGACCAAGTCAGTCCAGGCTTTTTATAATACAATTATAGTTGTTAACCATATCTATATACAGTTATATGGTGAAGTGTTAATGGAACTTACAGATGTCACACTCTTAACTGAACACTGTAATTGGCTGTTAATGGACGAGTTCTTCGTACTGAGATTTATGCGCTGTTAATAATAATGTAACTGACAAGAAGTTCTTGTGATTTTTTTTTCATGCCCCCCCAGTTATTATATGAAGCGGGGGTTTCGTACAGCTCCGCTTGTTATCTCTCAGCTAGTCTTTAACTACTTTCAGCTAATCTTCAGTTCTCATGTTCGTATCTCCTTAGCTATTGTTGCTATTTGCAACTACAGTAGCGCTTTGCTAATATTTGGTCATTTTAATGTAAAAGATTCATTGTTTTATATAAATCTAATTCTCTCTGACTTAAGTAATGAACTCCATGAGCCTCACGTAGCCCGTAGCTACAGGTACGCTAAACACATCAGTCCGAGTGATGTTGCTTTGCTAAAGTGAATTAGCAGTGTGGTATTGGTGTGCTAGTCAGGTACTTACCAGCTACATATTAACGGTGGACTAACGTGTCGCATTTTACTTTAGGAATACTTCTTCACTGATGCTAGGCTAAGGTACGCTAACACGTGAACCTTTTCTTTGCCTTTAAAAACTTCATTTAACTGCTTTCATTGGGTATTTGTATGTTTAATCTTCATTATGCAGTATATCATTTTATTTATTCACTCTACTAAACCATTATTTTACCAGGAAAGGTGTGATAAAAAGTAAAAGAGTATCTTAATATTTTACTTTCTTTCATTTCATATGTAGCATCTTGTCCATGTTAGCTTCTGGCTACACTGAAGCTGTTTTTGCACTATGTAGACTTATATAGACACAGGATGACTTCATTTTGGTTTAAAAAAAAAAATCTACCTAACCTTGGAGTGTGACTTAAGAAACCGCACTTAATCACACAAGAGGTAAATATAAAGTAAAGTTATAAAGTAAAAATTTCTTAAGAATTGGGTAATTGGTATTAGTTTGGGGGGAGAGAAAGATATATATATTTATATGTTTATATATAATTAAAAAAAAGACACACTGGAACCTGGGGCTGTTGGTCTGAACTTGAACTTTACTTGCAGGACGATATACATGGACTTTGAGAAGGATGTGAAAGTGAAAGGAATCCCAGCGTACCGCTTCACGCCACCCCGCTCCGTTCTGGCCAGTAAAGTGGAGAACCCAGACAATGCGGGCTTCTGCGTTACCCCCCAAGAGTGCCTGGGAACCGGTCTTCTGAAAGTCAGCCCCTGTCGGAAAGGTAACTGTGAGACGGCACTCTCATATACACACACTTTGAATTTTGACATTCTTCCCTCTGTTCTAGATCTGACTCAGCTTGTGATTTCTGCCAAACACCGTCATGGGTTTTTTTTTGTCTTATGTCTTTTTTTTGTAGCTTCCTCCTTTTAGCAGCCTCCCACTCAAAGCCTCAACTGCTCATGCTTTTGACTCTTCAGTAGCACCTACTGTCACTTTGAAATCTTGCTGAGGAAAGCAGAACAATAGTTCTTAGATTAGTAAGAACCTCGCCTCCAGTCTTCTCTCCTTATTACTGCTAATACCAACGAAACCATCCATGTGACCCAGCTCTGCAGCCTGCTCCACACCTCAGGCGACATCTGATCATGCCTGGCCCACTGCCAAGGGGTGTAAGCCCTGTCACCTGACTCTGGCCTCTTATAGGAGCAGATATTGTCCTATTGCCAATGTCCACTGCTCATTTGTCCCTCACGTCCCCTAATGAAAACTTACACAAAAAACAACAAATTAAAACGGTATTTTTCTACCACTGCGAGATCTCTTAATAATTTACAAATTAATGGATAAATGAATTAATAATGTTGTTTCTTCACTGAGCAAGAACGTTTTTTACACTATATTCCTAACCAACATTTATAGATTAAAATGTCATCACTTTATGTTGCATTTGAGGGGGGAAAAAAGTAGCATCGTTAAATGATTCCGTCCTCTAAAACTGACTTATTTACTGAGCTTTATGTAAAACCTTCTTTTAACTGTTTGTTCCCTGACATAGGAACACTGTTTGAAAGCTGAAAGAGACCCCAAAGAGTGTGAGGCAAGCCTCCTCCAGGGGGCGCTAGAGAAGGGATAAAAAAGATAGTGGATTGTCTTGTTACATATAAAAAGATCGCAGAATGACTGCAATACTGTAGGAAAACTGAGGAAGTATTTGGTGCTGTGGGAGACGAACAGGTGAAGTGAACGAGTGAAGCGGCGTGGGCTGCTCCGAGCGCCACCTAGCATCGGAGTCTGTAACCGTGCTCATATCTCAAATCTCGTATCTCAAAGCAAAAAATAGCTTGAAGGCTTGCTCGTATCTCAGGGTATTACTGTAGATTTGAAGTTATGTTTGAGGTAAAAGGTGCATGAAAGGTCACATTTTGAAAACCATGTGAATGAGACTTATAAAATAAACGTGACGAATGAAGGATGAGAAGTTCACAGCAGTGCGCGTAAATGTCCATGACCTGTAGTGAATGAGTGAAGAGCAGTTAAAACAATGGTTTTATTTTTAAAGCCTCCCAAGGTCAAAGCCTTGTTAGGACCTTAAAACACAGGGTTACAGTATGTTGCATGTCAGCGCCTGGATACAAAACAGTGTGTGTGTGTGTGTGTGTGTGTGTGTTTGTGTTTGCACTATGGTGACCTTGAAGCCTGTGACTGGAACAGGCTCTCAGGTGACTGCAGGCGTCCAGTGTTTTTGACAAACCTCTGTTGCCAAACACAGGAGCAGGAAAACCGTCACCTCTGTCCCACTTCATCAACTCCTCATAACATGGAACCATCTGACCCTGTTGTGGCCCCGACAGACCAGCATTACGTCTGTGTCGCCCTGGACCTGGACCGGTGGAACACTTGTAACATTTCACAACAAAAATGTTGCCAAAACCTAGAACATCTTAATTGCCTCGGTGGCTTATCAGAAACACGGCCCAGAGGAATACAACATTCCCGAATTACAATTTTAGGAAGGAAGTAAACAGGAGTAAAAGGAACCTGTATTAGGATAAGGTCCACGATTATTAATCAGCTCTCAGGCTTAAGATCTCAGTTCCATTTCTCTGCCGATCGCTCATTTCCTGAAGCCGATCGAGTTTCAGGAGTCACGTCCTTATCTTATCGGGCGGACTCTCCTGATAAGACTCTGATCCAAACTGCAGGAAGAGAGATGCTGATGAAAATGTTGTTGAGTTGCCACCATTTTTATTCAGCTCCCATCTCAGAGATGTGGAGCTGCTTTTGTCTCTGCGAACTTAACTTAGAATACACGAAGAAAAAGAAAAACTTTGGTATCGCAAATGTGTCCATACAGTATTAACCATTAGCTATTCGTTGTCTTAATGACTTAATAATAATGGCTAATTCTGTGTTTGCTAACTTTGGGATACTGACTTCGAACCCAACAGCGTTTCTTGTCGTTGTTCAGGTTCTGCCATTCTCAATATTTACACTATATTTAATTTAAATATAAAAATTTCACCATGAATGTCTTTCTTCCCTGTGTCCTCTGACAGGTGCTCCCGTCGTGGCCTCCTTCCCTCATTTCTATCTGGGTGAGGACAAATTTGCGGAAGCCATTGATGGAATGTCTCCACAAAGAGAGCACCACCAAACCTTCCTGGACCTGAACCCAGTGAGTTCTTTTCACTCCAGATTGATGACATCACGGCCGTGACTCATCTGCCATGATCACCCCTGCACATTTCTCCACGTTATAAATATAAATCCTACACGTGTGTGTCTCTCTCTATGAGCTCTTTCCGCCACCTAGTGGAACGTACGCAGCGGTGCAAGAATGTGCCGTGTAGTGGTTCAGTCAGAGGTTTTTTCCAACGAATGAAAAATTAGGTTGGCCTCATGTTTGGGTTATCCAGAATGACCCTCTTTTTAATGATAATAATGGGGCTGGGGTGGTTACATTTTTCTTTCTGTCTCATTTAATCATGTGTCAGTTTCAGACTGCTGCCTTTTATGACCCTGTATTGTTTTGTGTTTCGCTCACAGACGACCGGTATAATTGTTCGTGCCAACAAGAGAGCACAGATTAACATCCTACTCCAAAGGATTACCGGATTCCCGTGAGTGCTGTGTCATAGTTATTATTACATGATAATTAACCTAATGTACTCTACAAGAATGTCACTCATTGTACTCATAACAGGAAGACGAAAAACCTGAAGGAGACAATCTTTCCTGTTATGTTCCTGAACGAGGTAGGAAACTGTGAAATGTACATTATAGATAAACATCAGCTTTTAATGCAGCCTTTTTCTTTTTGAATTTAAGTAAGTAATACCTTTTGTTCGGTGTATCTGTCTCGGTCTCGGTGGGAAAATGTGTTTGTCCTAAATTAAGGTCAAACAGTGAACTGACACTTTTTTATATTCCGACAGTTTTTAACTGTCCCCAGAAGAGGTGCAATGTTGAATAATTAATTTTTTTTCCAAATAATAAACATGAATACATTAGCACGCCTGCCCTGAAAGCAGAAAGCAGAGAACCCTGGGTTCGATTCCCAGAGGTACCACCCTAAAGGCGCAACAGTTTACAACCACTTACTTAATGGCGCCCCCTTTGGAAACTTGTCGATTGCAAAGACTCACACTGCTGGTTCGATAGTGTAGCGGGTAGCATCGCTGAAAGGCAGGGTTTGATTCCCAGAGGAATCACATATCCTCAATGGGAATCCCGAGTGGCAGCCTGTGAAATGCAACCACGTACTTTGTGGCGCCTCCTGTGGCAGCCTGTGATGGCTGTAGGATGAATAAGAGGCATAAAATGCACTTGGATCAGCTGACAATTCTGAGATACAGTACTGTCAGCTGGTTTGCACAGCAGAAGCTCAGTGGTGAGAGTGTTACGTGAGTCAGTGTCAGCTGGTTTGCACAGCAGAAGCTCTGATCAGATAAGGGAATATGGAGAGAGTTGTTTCGCTTCAGTGGTGAGAGTGTTATGTGAGTCAGATGGAAACAGATCTTGTAAAGGGGAAACACCCGAACAAAACACCAAATCTGTCATTTGTCTTTCCCAGAGTGTTGAGATTGACGACAACTCTGCAGCGAGAGTGCAGAAGTTGCTGCTCATCAGCAATTTGGTTTCCAACTTCCCGCTCTTTATCGTGGGTCTGGGCGTCATCATGCTGTTGATCCTGATCGTCCTCCTGGTGAAGGCTCGCAGACAGAAGGTGAGAGGCTTCTTTACCTCACTTCACTCCTTCACAGCTTACATGTCGCTTGCTTTGCTCTAATGAGTGATTATCGTTAGTTCTTGCATAATTGCTTAACTAAACTCAATTAACAATGCACCTGTGCGCATCTCTATGCAGAATGAAGTTAAGACCAAGCCTCGAACCGCTGTAAGTTGTCTGCCTTGATGTTTCATGTTGTTTTTGCCTTGTCTTTAATTGAATCGCTAAATAAATTTGCCCACCTACATCTTTAATCCTGTTGGCCAGTGAGGATGTCCGATATTAACTTTTTGCCGATTTTGTACACACTTAATTTCCGATTCCGATACTGATATAGGCCTGGTAATATTTATTTATGTATCTGTACAAACCACTGTATGAGTTTCTGCATACAATTTCCTGATTATTAAAATAGATTAATTAAATCAGCTGAAATGCCACCATCTAGTGACTCTCACTTTCATGTACAGCCGTTTATCCCCAAACTACTTTTAGGGCACATCATTTGATAAATCCCAGACTTTGCGTTATCAGGTTTTCATTACTGGAGGAAAAAACGATAAACGATTCTTACAGATATTACACAATTATGCTAATATCAGACCGATAATATACGATAATTGTCGGACGTCCCCACTTTATGTTAAAATGCTACAGATGCTGAAAAAAATGTAATCTGATGATGTACAGTAATACATATTTATTTTTAATTCCTCTCCTAATCTCGTCTTCTTCCTCATTCTACTGCAGCAGACGTCTGCTGAAGATGACACCTCTTACTCTCCGGTCAGCAACAAGGACAAGGACGATCCTCAGAATGGTGCTTATATCGGTTTGACGTCCAAATCTGAGCAGCAAGCTTGAGACGGAGTGCTTGAACCTCCAACCTCCAGAGTTACCACTGAGGCTTATTAGGATTTTTAATCCACCAACAAAACAATGTGTGATTGACAAACCGTCTCTGATTTGAGTGAGATTGTGCGTTAAGAGGAGTGAAGAGAACAGTACTATGTTCCAAATAAACATTTCTGTGTAAGAGTTACTCATGGTAAGCTACCTGAAGTCCAGTCTGGGGTGAAGTATTCCCAGATCAGGGTGTGTGAAGGGTTACTATTTGCTGTTTGTTTCCCGGGTTTTTTTTTATTATTATTATTTTACTTTCTGTCCCTGAAAATGGCACCGATGTGTCATTGATGTGGTTTTAACAAACAGAACAAACTCTTGACCTGGGTTGGACCATTGATCGTACATATGAGCTGGACAGAAGTGATGAAGATGTTATTTAATTAAAGTTAATTCTCCCAGTTAGTTTCAGGTCTTCCTCTGTAAAGTACAGAGACCATAAGAGTGTAAATTATCATCACGTGACTAAAACAACCTACCGTAAATACAAACTACATCACTTCAAAAACCAGCGGTGCATTTCCACTGCAACAACAACACAACCTGTCGCTAAGAGAACTCTGTCCTGGTTCTATGTACGATCCATGTCTGTGATTTAAATTCAGTATTACTTTGTTGCATTTGCCTTTTATCTTTCATATGTCGGAACATTTTTATTTACGTACCCACGTACGTATTTACGTTTTTGGTTTTGTTTTTTGATCACGTAACAACCATAGTTTTTTGTATGTATATACAGTGAGATATTTTCTCACTGTGGTGGACGACTGCAAACTTGAGAGATTTGAAAAAATTGAAAGATTTTAAACACAGGTGTGGGGTTTTTTTTTCAAGATTTTATTCCTGTAAATTTTAGTGTTACTGTCGGACAAAATATCTCATAAAACAATACTTTACAGCCATATAAATCCCTGAATGTGACAGGGTCTGTGGTAAATAACAAACAGTAATCGACTGTTATAGTACCATACTCAAACAAAAACCAATATATATGTAATGGAGTTTTTTTTAATCATGTCACAATGTGCTTTGATGATGCTGTTGTAAAATGTTTTGTCTTCAGTTGGTGTCTAGTGCCGAAACACGACTTTGTTGTGTCAGTGTTAAAGTTGTTAAAGGGGTGAAGTAGCATAGAAAATGCTGTAGCTGTGCCTTTAAAACAATCACTGTTACTGTCTTCTTCCTCGTTGCTTTTCCTGAAGAAGGCTGTTTAAGCACCAGCAGATTCACTGCCAAGTGAATATCGCTTTCTTTTAACTTTACTCAGCTTTCTGTCCTAAAGCTGTGAAATACAAGATTTCAGGTGCCGTTTGAGGCAAAAAAAAAAAAAAAAGCTGCATACTCAACACTCAGTTCATACTGTGACCACGCCGGGTTTTATTTAATAATTTTTATGAAGGAGTTACTTCGGCTGCAAACAATAGTGGAGAAGCTGTAACATGTATCACTTTAGAGAATTGGACTTCATTTTGTGATTTTGCTTTTGTATTTGATGTATTCTTTAACTCGGTCGATAACATTAACAATAATAGAGAGGAATCGGAATAGAAAATATTTTTGTGCATAGATTAGTGTCATAAATTCTTGCGAAGGTTGTAAGAATCGGTCCATTTTTTTATCTAACATTACTAAACACAGCAATATTACAATGTTGTAAACACTGATAATTTTATCACACAGAAATAAACCAAAAACACAAAAAAAAATGTGAAATATGCATAAGGACTGTGCCATATTTTAATTACAAATCCTTCATTATAATGGTCCTTTTTTGTGTTTTCATTTTAGCAGTAAATGTAAATACTGTTGTTACCGTGTACACAAAAATAAAATTAGTTTCAATTAGTGGGTTTTTTTTTACTCATTTTGTTCCTGTTATTTCTTTCAGTGGTACGAAATATGTTGTCGAAGTAGTAGCAGGAAAGTATTAGTTCTAGTAGGAGCAGTAGTTGCGTTCAAAGACCCACCGCGAAATGGGGAAAATCGTGAGTTATTATATTACTTACGTATATATTTATCCTTTACTTTATTTTCCCCACACTGTTATTAACCCTCCCTAGACTGTATTACCCTTTCTCACACAATTATATGCACAGTACAGTTGTATAATGGCGAAGTGAACGAGAGAGTGGCCCACAGACAAGGGGAGATGCTGAGAGACGCTACGATGCATGAGCCAATCAGCGTGAGGAATAGAAAAGCATGCCCAATTTGCGCATTGTATTAGCCAATAGTATGCTGTGTACTATTCGCGGGTTCGGATAAAAAAAAATCCGCGATGTACTGAGGGAGCGAAAGCAGAACCGCGATGAAAAGCGGGAACGCCATTATCATTGTGACACTGCACACAACGAAATGACTTTGAATCTGCGACCTTATGGACACAAGTCCCGAAGTTCCTTGACACTAGGCCACCACTGCCCAAAATTCTTGATAAATACAACCGTCCCTGGGTGGGCTTGAACCACCAACCTTTCGGTTAACAGCCGAACGCGCTAACCGATTGCGCCACAGAGACTTGTCTAGACCATCGACACCTTGTATATATAATGATAGCCTGTATCAGTAGTCGTGGAAGTAGTTACCAGTTTGAGTTCTAGTGGTAATAGTTAGTAGTACTGCTAGATCAATTAATGATCAAAGTGGATGTATTAATAGAATAGAATTATTTATTTATTTTGTCATTATGTTCGGTTAAAACAACGAAATTGGGGAAGGTTTCTCCGCAGGTGTATCACATATACATACATATAAACATTACTCTGCTGTAATGGTCAAATAAACAACAAAAACAGAACAAAAACAAGTAGCAGCGATCAGCACTACAACAACAACAGCAAGAAATGTACTTTAAATGTAAATAATAATATAGATTTTAAATAAGCTGTCTCATAATAGTACACGTATTAGCAGAAAGCAGTGAAGGAGTGTGGAGTGGAGTGGAAGGAAGCGCTAGTTGGTTGGACTGGTCATAACAGTTGTAATAGTAGAACTTGTTGTACGTACAGTTCCAAGTTTAAGTAGTAAAATTACTATATAGTACAAGTATCAGTATCGGCAGCAGCAGAAAAAATGTATTTGTGTGTTTTTTCTTCATTACACTTTATACAATTATTATAATTTTATAATAAAAGTATTATAATATTTAATTATAATTATTATACAATTATATTTTTGTTGCGTCTATGTTTATATTTCCCTTTCCTTCTACCTCTTATTCTCGTTCACAATACAAATATATTAAATCTTTGTCCTGCAGGGGGCAGCATACATGCCTCTCGTGGTCTATGCTGCCATATTTTCAAGAAGAAAACAAAAAGTTACCGGAATTCGGATGAATGTATACTTCCGGTGGCAATCAACATGGCGTTCAGTTTTGGCGGCGCCACCGCAAATACGGCCACAAGTATGAGAGGGTTTTTTTGGTTTTAATTAATAGGATTTGAAGAATACGGAGGAAGCATTGTATTTAATCTAACCAATCTTTTAGGTCGATGTGTGTATTCAGAGTTATATGTAGCTAAGTGTCTGGTAGGTTGCGTAAAAGCTGTAGTAGCTTGACAGCGTGCTACTGGAATCATGTACCGACCAATGTTCATCTTTATAGAAAATGAAACAAAATCTAATGTCTAATCTAAATGTTTTCATGACATCCGTGTTAGTGTACCACCACCAGTTCAGTATGTAAATGTACCACGTCTCTGAGATTTGGTCGAGATTATTTTATATTCCGATTTGTTTGAGCGTAAAGTTGTCAAATCAACTTAACATTTACTAACACTTTTCTCTTTCTGTCTTCTCATGGTAAGGCGCCCCGGGGTTTTCTTTTGGGTCATTTGGTGCAAAGACGACAGCATCTAATGCATTTGGCTTTGGCTCAACAGCCGCCACCACTACGACCACCGCCTCGTCCGGATTTGGCAGTAAGTGCAGATTCACTGCTTCATGTGTAACTAATAATAGTTAATACTTTGTCGATTAGTGCACAGGTCTTTGAAATCGAATATTGTTTAATTGGTTACTCTTGTATTGTGTATATACCGAAGATAAGGTATGCGGAAATCATGTAAAAACAAATGTCAGCTGTTTTATTGTCTTTTTTTGTCTTTTTCTTGGCAGCTCTCACAGCCCCTGGTTTTGGGACAGCTACCACCACTGCTGCTGCACCAGCAACAGGATTTAGTTTTGGCTCCACCAATACTGGTACGTTACACTGGTTCGTGACAAAGAATGCGCTTTACGATGTTAACAATGTTGGACCTG